GCCTCTCGCGTGGCACTGAGTCAGTGTGCCTTGCTACGTGGTGCGCTCCGGTTCGTCGGGGATGTTGATTGGACAGTCTACATTGTGCAATTTTCTTTAATTGCGTTTTAATTATCAGTTTGTGATTTTTCTTTTAAAAATATTTTTCGAACTCAAATTCTCATCCAATTTTTTTTTTAATTATTTTTAATTTCATTCTTAATTTATTTTTTTCATAATTCTATATTAAATTAAAATTTATTAATTTTAAAATTAAAATTTTTTTATACATTTTTTAAAATTTAAAATTAATCATAAATTAAATTTTGAACTCGAATATTACGTAATAAATATCAAATTTTGAATATTAATTTACTAATTTATCCTATACCATACTCTCATAAAATCTACGGATTAGTTGATAGCGAAGATTCCTCTCACTTGATAAAATTTAAAAGTTTTTTTTAGAGACTTGACAAAAAAGGAAATGTGGCAAAGTTGGCGCCAGCAATTCATAATAAATAGTGAGATAATATCTTGACGTTGACTGAATACAATTTATAGTTAGTTACTAGTGGTAGTAGGAAGGAGTACGTACGGGTTGGCTTCTAACTTCTAAGATAATTCCTTATTTACCTCCTCTAACAATAGATATAGATATAGATATAGTAAATTCTCGAAATAAAATTACACGTAATTATGAGATAAAAATATTTTTATTTTTATTTTTTATAAAACTACGTTAATTTTAATTATTTATGATAAGTTTTTGTAATTTTTTCAGTGTAAATAAAAGTTATAGTACACTTTATGTTCGGTAGTTTTTTAATATTTTAAAATATATTTTATACTAATTTATTTTAAGATAGTTTATGCACTTAATCAAATAAAATTTATGAGTCAAATTTTATAAAGTTAAGTGAATAAGCAGATAATAAGATTTATTAAATTAATTTTTTTTTAATATCTAAAAAATTATATCAATTTTTTAATATATTATGAGTGTTCTACTTAATGACACTTAATCATTATGAAATATTTAATTAGACCTATAAACATAATAAACTATATGAAATCTAATCCAGTGTAGATATTATTTAATTGTTAAAATATATAAAGTTTCAGATAAAATAATTATGTAACATCCTTGTTATAAAGTTGATATCTCAAATGAGAAACCTATTTATATATTGTATGATGAGTATGAAAAAACCTATTTATTTAATGTCAATTAAAAATTCAGATATGGTTCACCTGTTTATACACCATGTCACCTTGTATAAAAATATTAGAACCCAAATGCACCATCTCTCTCTTTATGATTCATATATTACTCTATTTATCACATCACCTTCACATGCATAGTTAATTCAATATATATATATATATATGTATGTATGTATTGTCTATGTAGGCATCATTGACATGCATGCATGGTAAGTCTATATCTTTTGGTCTTTCTCGGGTGAGTAATCGATTTTTCTATAACCATTAATTTCAAATCAAATTAAAAAAAATATTTTATTTTTTCTCCATAGCTATAAAAATTTCTACGAATTAGTTAAAAAGAAAAAAAGAAAAAAACAATTAGCCTTTCTTTTTTGAATTCCAACTTTCTCAAATATAATATAATATATATATATATATTAAAAAATTAAATTGAAAATAAAGGTAAGCAAAAACAAGAACTTGCATGATTGACACAGTAAATTTGATTCTTTCAACATGAATGTTATTTTATTCAATCGCATATTTTCAACAGGAATTTTTAATTTTTTTAGAAAAATAAATTATTTTTTTATTTCTGAATTTTTTTTTTTTAATTTTTTTATTTTTTCAAGTTAAGCAACTTGATGCAGTGCAAGTTGCAGTTTTAAAAACTCCCAGCAGCCCTTTAAATTTTGTGTACGTTGACTTCAAGCCTTATACTCCGCTTTCTCCCCCCTTCTTTTTTTTCTATCTTTCCTTCTTTCTCCCTTCAAGATCTGTCCGCCATTACCCCCCCCCCCCCCCCCCTCCCTCTCTCTCTCTCTCTCTCTCTCTCTCTCTCTCTCTCTCAGGAAACAAAGATCTTTCTTGGGATTTTTGTTTCCTTTGTCAGTCTCATCTGTTTCACACAACTTTCAACTTTTCACTCTCGATAATCGAAGAAATCCCTTACCACTTTTGTCCCTTTCTCTGTAAATGTTGAAGAGAAGGAAGACGATGAACTTCTCTCGATGTCTGTTTTTCTCCTTGCTTGCATTTTGCTTCTTCAATTTCGTCTCTGCAGCCACTCTCGTAGAAGATGAAGGTAAGAGAAACATCGGAAGAACATAGCATAATTTCTAGTTTTCACTCTTTCTCTGCATCTGGACTTCGTTTTAAATTACTTGTGAAGAAAATCAAGGTTTTGTGAATAGGCTGCGAAAAGTTTATGCATATATATAGTCAATACTCCAGACTCCAGACAGATGAAAGTAATCATTAATGGTGCTTTTTGTTTTCCGAAATATACAGTTCAAGCTTTAAAAGACATAGCGAGGACGATGGGGAAGACGGATTGGAATTTTAGCGTAGACCCTTGCAGTGGGCAGGCGGGTTGGGTCAGTCCGAACCCGATCAAAGGAGAAGAGAATGCGGTCACATGTAACTGCAGTGACGCCAATAGTACTCTGTGCCACGTTGTCAGTATGTAAGTCTCTGTTTATTATTCTTTCCCATTTTACACCAAAATAATTCTTTTTTTTTTTTTTTTTTTTATGTTTTGGTTTTTAAATTCATTTTTTAGGTATTTAAACACTTCAACTTGTAATTTTGTGTAGATATTTACTAATTTTTTTTTTTTAATAAAAAAAATAAGGTAGAATAATCAAATTTGAATGATTTGTAAGATTTAAGTTTTAGAAATTAAACGTAAAAGGAAAGAGAAATTGGGTTTTAATGGCTAATGAAAACAAAGTAGACGTGCATGAACAGTGAGGTCTAGTTGTCATAACTAATGGCCCATGTCTGTGTGTGTGTGTGTGTGTGTGTATATATATGTATGTATGTATGTAAAAAGATAATATGCAAAATTTATCTAACCTGACAATTTTAACTTTGATTCTTTCTATATTTTTTATTGGTTTATAATAATATACAAAAACAAGCAACCTGACAAATCCATCAATATTGACTTTTGACTTCAGCTGGAACTTGTTCCTTTCCTCCCCCCCCCCTTAAAATAATAATCTATATTTTATTTAATTATCTGGGTTACGTAATTGGGTTTGAGATTTATTTGGTGTATGAAGAATATTTTTTAGTTTTAATTATTTAAATTTATATTATAAAAAATTAAATAAGATAGTTAACAATAAAGAAAATGATTGTTAATATGATAATGAAAATTAAAGGATTTTTTTAAATATTACTGTAGTAATAAAATAAAACCTTCCATAAACACGAGAAGAAAACTAGATATTGTTTTTTATATATGAAAAGTGGACTCAGTTTTTCATTTATTGTTATTATTTCATATTTATTGAAATATTGTCTTCCTTTAAAATCTTATTATAAAATTAGTAATATTTCAGTTTGTCATTACTGGAGTAATTAATCAATCAAGAATGGAAAAAATAAACAATACAAGATATACTTGTTTAGCATGTTTTGTAAAATATAATTTGCTAATTTTACAGTAGTTTAACCTAATTATTTATTGCACAATGTCTATTGCATTGACAAATGTATATGTATAATCTTATCATATATTATTAAGCACTAAAAGCCCATTCTCTGTTGAAACACAGAGTTCTCAAGGCAAAAAATCTTCCGGGTACTCTTCCACCAGAACTAGTCAGGCTCCCTTTTCTCCAAGAAATGTCAGTACAATTTCCCATTCTTTCATGCCAAATTTTCCCCACCTCATGTCCCAAATTACCATTTTCTACATTCACACTTCAAACTTCTGTGTTTTAGATATCAACTAACAACTGTCATTTGACACAGTGATCTATCTCGAAACTTTCTCAATGGTAGCATTCCAAAAGAATGGGGTGCATTGCCACTGGTTAATATGTATGCTTTCTCATTCCCTCTCCTCATATATCTACATACCATGTTTATCAATGCATTCGTTCATACACATATATATCTATGAATCTACATATGTCCTTACTCAATTATCTGAAAGTGCTGTTTGATGTGTGAAAAAAAAAACATAATATCCCATATTGAGGAACTGCTTATCAAGGGCTTTTAAATACTGCAGCTCTCTTCTTGGAAACCGGCTAACGGGTCCGATTCCTAAAGAGATGGGCAATATTACCACTCTTGCCAGTTTGTGAGTATTTTTGATAAACCAACTAATTACTTTTCCTTAATTACGAATTGTGAAGAGATTTTTTAAAAATTTTCCTTGAACTTGCTAAAATTTGTGACTTGATTTTTATGTAGAGTTGTAGAGTCCAATCATCTATCAGGGGGGTTGCCTCCGGAGCTTGGACATCTACCTAATCTTCAAAGAGTGTAAGACCATTTATTCAAATTTTTGAGAAAACAGACCCTCTTTTGTTATGTTTTAAGTTAGAGCTTTTTGAGATTTACATTTATGTATCACTTGGTTGAATTTATTTTTTTCCATTGATGTTATAGATTGCTAAACTCAAATAACTTCAGCGGGGAAATCCCAGAAGCATTTGCTAACCTGATATCACTGAATGACTTGTAAGTTTCTTATTTTAGACTAAGATGAAGCTAATTAATTTCTGAACTTCGTCGCACTTGAAACTAATGGAGCTTTCTTTTTCTTTTTCTTTTTTGAATG